CTGGGGGCGGCGGGAAGCGGCGCCTCTGCGTGGGGGACTTGGCCGCTGCCGGCCGAGCAAGCGGGGCTTGGTGCGGATTCCGGTTTTGTGTCGCTTATTTATTTATTATTTATTTCCCTTTTTTAATACGGAGCGGTTGCGGGTGACGCTCTTGGGAACTTTCTTACGGCTCTCCCTAGGGCTGGGAGCCGGCAGGACCTTCCCCGAGCGCGTCGCGGGGCAGAGGCTGCAGCAGCCCCTTTTACTAAACCCGTTTCTCCCCCAAATTACTCTGGCTCGCGGCCCGCGCTCTCGTCGGCTCTCACCCGTGCCAGCGTTTTTCAATTAACTTAATTTCAATTAACTTAGTTCGAGGGAAGTTTGGGCCGTGCTCCCTGCTGGGAAAAGCAGGTAGAAGTGCTCGTTTTTCTTTTTACTAGGGAGTTTTTTGGGGCTGTCTGGCATGCGTGTAACTTCACTGGCGCTTCCTCCTCAGGACGTTCAGCCTCTCAAAAATTGTATATTTATATTTCTTTTTTTTTTTTCAAAATGGAAATGGTGTGAGAACGCAATATCTGTAATGATACTTTATTTTTCTTTTTGAAAGCAATAGCATTTAATGCTTGACGTTCTGTTTTTCCTAGCTGGAGCAATCCTCCCGATTTTTTTTTTCTCCTGTCACTGATAGGCCTTTTTCCTCCCAAATCGTGTTTTTTTAACCTGGCAGGGCTGCTCTGCCTTTAGCAGTGTTTGGTAGCAGGCAGCACCCAGGAAGTCTGGTCACCTGAGTGAGCGATTCCGAGTGAAGGACTGTGAGGAGTGGTAAAGCCGTGTTGCTAAAGCATGGCCTGAAAATGTGCTGATTTTGCCTGATTTTGGAAGAAATAACAAGAAGTCACTTCTGACAAAAGTAGATAGCTCTTCAGGCACTGTGATGGAGTGATAAATTTAAAAATAGCCTGATTAACCTCTGCTGTTTCTTTCAAAAAAAGTTTTCAGGGAACTGTGGAGATTTTCTTATAGAATTGCTAACATTATATCATGCACGGAATGATTTTCTGTAATGTAAGATGGAAACAGACTTCTGCATTTACCAGATGATTTTAAACATTTCTTTTTCAGATCTGACTTGATCATACCGAATTGCAGCCATGGTGCAGAAGTATCAATCCCCCGTGCGGGTGTATAAACACCCTTTTGAGTTAATTATGGCCGTAAGTAGTACTTTTACCATAGTTTTCTTGTTGATAGTGCCTTGTATTGCTAAGTACTTAGCCCAGTTTGACAGGTGCTGTAGAACATATAAATCTGACAGGATATACAAAATAGGAGAGGTATATGTTTTCAATTTCCACTTTTCCTAGAATACTTTTTTTCTTTGGAATAGTATTTTCTTCTCCTTCTCTCACCTCCAGTGTTTAGATAAAGTTTGTGCTCAAGTCTGTTTTAAAGTTGTATGCAAAAGTGGACTTGAAGTGTACTATTGTGTTGATTATTGGGAGCAATAATCTCCCAATATAATTCTGGCGTGGGAGAAATGTTAAAGTTCATTGATTAAAAGGCGATTGCGGCTGTGTCTTCGAGTATAGAATTTGCAGGAAGAGACGAGAGAGAGAAATCAAGGGTAAGAACCTTGAATGAAAAAGTATTTAGAGCAACAGTAATTTTGGGAGGAGCAGAGTGAGGGAAAGATCTCTGGCTAGGTGGTCAAATAAATCCTCTTGGATGTGTGGCTGATATGGTTTGTGTCCTGATAGCCAAAAAAGATTGAAAAACCTACTGAAATTTCATATATTTTTCTTTTTCTTATATATATAGTTTATAAATTAAAGAACCAAAAAGAAGGAAGTAGGTTTTTGACATTTCTAAGGATATTTAACCAAAACCACAGTTATATGGCTCTTATGAGATAGAAGGAATGGTCAGGTCAGCTCATTCCCAGTGAAGAACAGTTAAAATATGAATAATCATTTTGTTTCATTTGCTGAGAGCTTTGTGTTTAATGGCTTCAGAGAACAGTTCTGATTGTGTTCATAGTATAAATATTTGATATATCAAATGGCTTGAAGTGTAGAGGTTCTTACAGAAGCAAACCTTTGCTGTCACAGGGCAAATAAGGATTAAATCACTCTGCATGGAGTGCTTCATTTTCTTTGTATCGTATTCCTGAAACTACTTCCAGTATTAGACGTGTAGGTCTTGCCCTTGCAAACACATAAAGGCAGAGAGTGGCTCTTCTCATGAGTGGTGAAGAGTCCGGCTGTGATGATAACTTGAAGATCTTTTGTGCTTTACTACATTGTTACAGCTAGGTTGTCAGCTGTTTTAAAATGCAGATGTGTACTTATCCATTTACCTTCAGGAAAGTATAGTGGTTCTTGTTCTCACACCGGTGAACAAAAATTCTTGTTTCCTGAACTGAAAAATCTTTACCTTGCTGTTCGGCTGATGGCAAAAATAATTAAGTGTCTTGTTTTTTTAAAAAAAGAATTGTCTGAATCAAGATGGTTATGGCAGGATTTTTCACAATGCGTTATTGACTATAATTAGAAATCCTTTTGACTATGTTAATATCAACTTTGGGTTCTCAATGTGTTCTATATCTTGGGGATAACTACAATTCAGTAATGATATTTAACAAATACTGAGTCTTTTCTGCCACTGAAGTATTTTTTGCTTTCTGAAAAAGTCTATACTATGCATGTGTCCAGGAAAACACAGTACATGAAAAATTATAATGGTGAACTAAGAGGGTAAGAATGTTTATAAAAAGAAACAGCTGAACATGATACTTTCTGAGACTAGGGGTTTAGATTAGTAAAAATGTGATTGATTTCATCTATGTTAGGGTGGTGACTTCTCACTAGCGCTTGTTCAAATGTGATCACCAACTAAGGATCTTTATCCTGTCGTTTCATTCCGGTATGCTGTTAGGTTTTAAGACACCAAAATTATTGGTGATAATCCATCCAACCTGTTCATGCATTTTCTGATACAGGCAGAAGTTTGTTTCCCTGGGCCAAGTTATTTGAAGAACATGAGCAATGTAGTGGTTTGATATTTTCTGCTGCTGTTTTCGCTTGGTTAAATACTGAGTGTGCAAATGGTCAGATGGTTCTGTTGGAGATAAAACTGTTGTATTGTTCTCAAGAACAACGTGTATTTTAGTGTAAAGTTACTTGAAGTGTGTTGGTAGCTCTTCTGAAATGAGGAACGAAGTTGCTTGTGTACCAAGTCTGAGCTGAACGCATCCAGCAAATAGGGCCTTAACAGTATGTTTTTTATGTTTGATTTTTTTCCTGTTCCCCTCTGTTACATTTTGAAGAAAATGTGTCCTCAAAGAGTTTTAAACCTGTACCACGAAAACTCATCTGTCGGTGAAAAGCCTCTAAAGTAGGTTTGGGTTGATAGGCAGCAGTGTCATTTATGCTAAAGTGTCTTAACAAATATCAGTGGTTTTAGCTTGGCTCTTGTTGCAGAGGATCTTGATTTGGTCTCAAAGGGCTAAGAAGTTTTCACAATTTTCTCTGTAAATTCCTTCTTCCTTTTCTGAGAGTTCCATGAAACTGAACAAGCAATTCACTCAAAGAATTGTTGATAGTGATCACTAAAGTTGGTGAAGCCTGTTTGAATCTTAAAGATTTTCTAGGAGGATATGTAAAGGGTTGAGTAACTCCTGGGATTTGGAACTGATCATGTCAAACTGTTCAGAAAAATAATCAGTTTCCAATTTGTGTAGTAAGCAAGAGATCCATTGATACATGTTTCTAGCCTTCCCTAACATTAAAGAGAAGCTACATCAAATCTAATATAAGCTGCTTTCCTTGATTTATTTTTAATGTCAAATTGTGTGGTTTTTAGATAGTATCTAAGTCGCTTTGAGAGCAAGCAATTTTATTAATAGATTTGTGCCCAGTTAGAACTATCTGCTGAACTTCAAGAGGTGAACTTGAAGAGATAAGGCTCCAGAAATTACCCGTTTTACTCTGAAAGGACTAACGCAGGCAATAGAATTTCAGCAAATGGATCCTGAACCTGACGGGATGTTTTGTATCTGTCACAATCAACTTCTTGAAAACTGTGTGTGCGTATGTCTATATATGCAACTGCTAGCCACTGTACAGCTGTACAGTGTATATATATTTATACAAACTGTATAGCTGTTCATCAGACTGAATAAAATACCACCTATTTTTTCCTCCTGTTCTTGTTGAAGTTCTTGTTGAATGCTTGAAGTAGCAGAAATGTGCGAAATGACTGTTTACTTAGACTCTTCTTGTTAAGTTACCAAGGTTAAATATATTTGAGAAGAGCTGAGAAACTGCTTTTTATACTTATTAAGTTTATAAGTTATTTTAACACTAGCTTAAATACATTGAAAGTAATGTCAGAACCTTGCTGAATGCGTATTTCTTAATGTTAAAAGGCAGTTGTGATGTTAGAAACCTTAACACACATGATTCTGGAATTAATTTGGGAGCTTCACAGCTCCTTTTTTTTTTTTTTTTTTTTTTCTTTCTGTCCAACATGCATTAGATAATCTTACTTTGTAAATTAAAGGGGAATTAAGTAATGAATAATCAGCTCTTATGGCATTCCAAGGGTGGCATTTATGCAAATGAAAAATAAATGAGATTTTGAGAAAACCACATTGTTTGTCATGGGATCAGAGGTTTTCTTAAAGTTTCTGGAAACTGAGGAAAACATATTGCCCTTTAAGCCTACTTTATTTAAAGCAATAAATTAATTTCTGAAATAATTGTGACTAGTAATATGACTGAACATGGTAAACATGCTCTAAAGATATCCTGTTAATTTTAGTCAAGTTAATGTGCATTTTTAAGTTTGTAGCTCCATGAAAGCTAATATTTTTCACGTGTGCCTTTGGCAGGAGACAGATTTTCAAATATATCTTGCTGTTTCTTTGAATACCTAAAAGAAAGTTTGTACTTAAATGCTGGGCATTTGTCAGCTGGCACTGCTGTTAAATGATAAAGAACAGTCTTAGGTAAACTAGTGATCAGTGTCAAGAGCTTATGGTTTTGGAAATACCTTTGTTTTTATTTTAAAATAAAATGGCAATGAACCTTGCACTGCCTTGTGGTGGAAATCTTTCCCGCCAATCTCTGTATTCTCATCAAAATAATTTTTAAAAAATCTGGGTTTTCCTTTGTTGTAGAATATATAAAGTACCTCAAAAAAGGTCTCAATGAGTTAAATATAATAGTATCTCTTTTTTTTTTTTCCCAAGATACTGGTCATGAAAACCAGGATGACTGGCTGCCTTTGGTTCATGGATCTGAAGAAATACATTGTTTAGATAAATCTGTATGAATTTAAGTATATCCAAATCATAGAGAAGAAATAAGATTGTAGATGACATACGCTTCAGTGTTAGAGTAGATTAAGAAAATATACCTGTCTTCAGTTTCACAAAGTGGAATCAATCGATCTAGATTCCTGATCAGACTGTATTATCATCTTTTTATTTTAAAAGCTATTATTTAAAAATGACATTTTTAAAAATCAGCTGTGTGCTTAAGTACCACACCTGCTCATAAATTCATGCAGTTTTTCTTCCTGTTAATTTTTTTTTTTCCTTGGGAAAAATGCATTCCATTCTTCATGTGAAGAAGAGCTGACAAGCTGGTCAGCAAAAGGAAGCTGGGAAGCCAGCCATTCTCCAAGTGCTTTTGAAAGCACAAAATAGACGAAAAGTACAGAGAAGTAATTTTATCCCCTTAATGAAGTGTACCTTAAGGTGTTTTTTTTTTTTTTTTTTTTAGCTGGTTGTAGATTGAGGGCAGCAAAAGGGAGCAAATTTAGTGTCCTCTCCTGGATCCACTGCACTGTTTTCTGTTTTTTGTCTTGACACAAAACCTCTACTTTGTTTTCTTTCCTTACTGAAAGTTCAGGCTTAGGTGCTATTGGAAAGGGGTTGGTAGAACTACTGTGAAATATGCGTATGGATTTTTGTATTTTGGAGTAAGTGCCTGTACTTTGACGCATGTTTTATGCTGTTTTTGGTGTTGCCACGTATTGTTAGGACAAATTCATTTTTGGCCACTTGTTTTGAGTGAGCAGTAGTTAAGAAACATGACTTAAGTAAGTACCAGAGGAAGCAGTAGTTAAGAAACATGACTTAAGTACCAGAGGAGAATATAGATTTAGCAGCCCGCTTACAGTACGATTTACATGTTATTTCATGGCATGC